GCGCCCCAACCCCCTGATCGGCCCTGCTCTGTGTATGACAGGGTACGGAGCCCCAACCCCCCTGATGGGCCCTGCTCCGTGCGTGACAGGGGGCAGCGCCCCAACCCCCTGATCGGCCCTGCTCTGTGAGTGACAGGGGGTGGTGGGGCAACCTCCCCATTGACCCTGCCTTGAGTGTGACAGGGGGCAGCGCCCCAACCCCCCAATCGGCCCTGCTCTGAGCCCGACCAGGGGCTGCACCTAGGGATTGGGCCTGCCCTCTGCCACCCGGGAGCGGGCCTAAGCCAGCACGTCATTATCTCCCAAGGGGTCCCAGACTGTAAGAGGGCACAAGTGAGGCTGAGGGAGACCACCCCCCTGGCCAGTGCACAAATTTTTGTGCACCGGGCCTCTAGTCCTATATAATAAAAGGCTAATATGCAAATTGTCCCCTTTGGAGTTTGACTGTTCGCTATGACATGGGCTGACCACCAGGGGGCAGCGCGGAATAAAGGTCCCAGCCAACAGCCAGTAGGGCCCGATTGGCTGTGATCACTGGCCAGGCCTAGGGACCCTTCCCGTGCACAATTTCATGCACTGGGCCTCTAGTATTCTATATAATAAAACCCTAATATGGAAATCAACCGAACGGCAGAACCACCGGTTGCTATGACACACACTGACCACCAGGAGGCAGACACTCAACACAGGATCTGTCCCCTGGTAGTCACTGCTCTCCCATGGGAGAGTGCCGCTCAGCCAGAAGCCAGGTGAGCGGGCATAAGCTGGCAGGTGGACATCCCCCGAGGGGTTCCAGACTGTGTGAGGGCGCAGGCTGGGCTGAAGGACCCCCCCCAACCCCTTAGTGCACAAATGTTGTGCACTGGGCCTCTAGTATATGTGTGTGTGTATATATATATTTCTCTACTTGAATTATCCTAACTAATTCTTTTCAAAGATGAAGAAACTGAGACTTAGAAGATTAAGTGACTTACTCAACATTAAAACTCATTAGCAGTACCTTTAGCAACCATTTCCTAAGCATTAATGCTGAGTTTGGTGCCAGGTACCTTAAATATATGTACATGCGACACTGTAGGTCATGTCTGTCTGACTCCAAAGGCCTTGCTACTTCCCTCACTCTATGCTGTTTTAGGATTGAAGTCCAATGACCTGTTTTACCACTTTGAAAAGGTTTTCAGATTCCCAATCAGTGGTCTCTCTCTATGCTACCACAGTGCTTCTCATGTTTTTTTATATAAAGACTAGAGGCTCAGTGAACGAAATTCATGCACAGGTAGGGTCCCTAGGCCTGGCCAGTGATCATGGCCGATCGGGGCCTTCCTTCTCTGGCTGCTGGCTGCTGGCCGGGGCCTACATTAAAAGTAATGTATAATACTAATTATAAAGTGATGTTCTAAGTAGTTAAGGTTGTTGCTCCCTAAGATAACATATAAATTACAATATCCAGAAAAAGATTCATTAATGTAACTTCCAAATATAAAAATAAGAATTTGATAATCTTAACTCAAGTATATTCAGAAGTGGATTATCTAGGAAAGGAAAACAGAAGTGCTTATAATAAAAAATATATTCTCACTTATTTTGAACTCATTTTTGTAATTATGTAATTTTGTAATTTATGTAATGTTATGGTAGTCACACTTCAAATGAAATAATGAAAAGCATCCTTCATGAGGCCATTCATAATGACCACGATATAGATGGCAAAACTGAGAAACAGAGGGCAAGCAGTCCACAATCTAATTTGCTGATGGATTAACTAACACTTTACAGAGTAAATGAAAAAAATAAATAAAAGAGAATTTATTTTTCTTCTTCTTGCAGTTAAAAAAAAAAGGAGTAATTTTAACCATCATACTAAAAAGCAGTGTCAGACTTTATTCACTTCAATTGCTTTTCTAACCAGCAATAAACAAAAGTGCCCATGTTAGCCCTGGCCAGATGGCTCTTTTGGTTGGAGCATTATCCCATTTATCAAAAGATTGTGGGTTCGTTTTCCAGTCAGGGCACATACCTATGTTGAATGTTTGATCCCAGGTTGGGGTGCATACAGGAGGCAACCAATTGATGTCTCTCTCTGTGTGTCTCTGTCTCTCTCTCTCTCTCTCTTCCTTCCTCTCTTTAAAAAAACATATCCTTAGGTGAGGATAAAAAAAATAATAAAATAAATACATAAATAAAAGTGCTCACTCATTTATACATTACTAGGTTAGAGCAGCTGTATATTATTCCAACTGTCAATCATATATTTTATATAAATAATACCCAGTGAACAAGGTGTGTCAGTATGCTTCTCATGCAGATAAATGGAATAAATTAATTTTATCCATACATTCCATCTAACATCAAAATCCATTAAAATATATCTGTTAATATGTTAGGAACTCAAAAAATATGTGAAGACTAAATTGAAAAACATACTATCAATTGTTATTCAGATATAAAAATTTCAGTACCTGTAAAATATGTATTAAATATTCATTCAGAGAATTAATAATATTGGCACTAGATGGTGCTATTCCATCAGGTAAGTCTACTCCTTTAAAAACAACATTTGATCCTTCTGATTTCCGTAAAAGACTGGTTTCTTTTTCAAGATGATCAATCTGGAAACAAAGAGTTCAGGAATGAGAATCACATCTCTTATACCCAAAGGAAGACAAATTTAAAAGCAGTAACTGAATATTTTTTTAAAGTAGACATATGAATGCCCTGCCGGAAATTAAACCATAATTTATTTTCCACTTAGTATACTAGTACACTTGGAATTTTTGTATTTTGTTATATTATAAGACACTTATTTTTCCAATTAATTTTATAAGAAAAACCTGAATAGGTGTTTTCTTAATGATGAAAGAATTAATTCAAGGGGCATTTTCTAATAAAGTAGTCATTTTTAAAAAAATTAAAAGTTTCATATTAGACCTATGTTCAGTGCTTAACATTATCTTTTATTTAATAAAATTCTCACCTTTAAATTTGCTTTTGCCAACTGCTGAGAATAATTTATAGCCTCCTTTCGAGCTTCCCTGAGCTCCTGTCTTAATTCTTCATTCCTCCCAGTAAATTGGTCAACTTGGGTTTTCAAATGGAGATTGGCATCGAAGATTCCTTCTGCATTCTTTGATTCCATTGCCTAAAAGATTTATGTTATATTTCAGAAATGTTAAAAAACATTAAAATCATAGTTTAAAAATCTACTTTTAAATAAAATTCACATTTAAGCATTTTACTATTCCCACTGCCATGTATAATAACAAAATAAGCCAAATCTATTTCTTATTAATGAATTTAAATTTATAAAACTATTTTAACTTACAACAGTATTACCAAGTTTAGTAACTACTTTATTATAAAAATTAGCAAACATCTAGCTAACCTTAGTAAACTGGTAGCCTAGTAAATCAACTGAATAGGAACAGGATGACAAGGGTTCATATCTTAACCAATCTCTTACTAGCTTGGCAAGTGACTTAAATTCTTTATACTTTAGTTTCCTTATCTCTAAAGAAGAGTAAATGATATTAGCTCTGTCAACTTCACAATATTGGCAGTCAAAATGAGATATACATGAAAATACTTTGAAACTATGGAGCACCTGAATTTAAAGCATGAGCAAAGAAATGAAAGTTACTACATCCAATTAAGTGAATTTTCCATTGCTTTCTCTCCACAGTTGAAGTACACATGGTAACAAAGGCAAAGTATGATAACATAGTATTATCCAAGAGTGCTAGGTAAGCAAAAGTAATATGTCAAAATATTAGAATATCAAAGCGCCTTCATTGTCCTAACTCTCCAACTATCATAAATCTATACACACACACACACACAAACATTATGACTTTAAAAGAACTATATGGAAGAAACCTGTTAAATGCAAAGTAAAGCTTCAGAAGTGAAGGCTGAAGACAAAGTGGTAGGATGAGTAAAACCAAATGTAATCTTATACAGTACTCAGGAAGGTGAACTGGTGTTGAACTCTGGGCAGCAGATTTATAAAAGGAAGCCTTTACACTAAGAGCTCAGAGAAGGACATATAAAGTAACAAGATATACTAATTCAAAGGGATACGAGGAAGACAGAAATAGGCAGAAGGGGATTTCTGACAGACAACAAAGTAAGTCTAGTTAGTTCTGTTGCTAAGAAATAGCACCATGCCGTCTACATGGTCTTTTGGTAAAATAATACTAAATTAGATAGTGATTCAGGGCACTGAAAAAAACAAAACAAAAACCTGTAACAATAGAAAGTGAACTGAAGTGCATAAACCAGAATTATCTGATCTCAAGATTCTGAAGATTTCTTACAAGGAGGTATTATTAGGTTATCTGTGAGTTTTAGACAGGGATATATTTCAGAAAAAAAGAATGACAACCCAGAATAAATGCAGATAAAAACCTAGGGAAGCAGTGGCTGTAGGAAGGCCAGGGACTATGAATTGAAATAGAAGGAAAAATTTGCTAGTCTATTCATTTACTAAATAGTTTCCCTTGGAGAATAAAGTTTGATCTGAGATATAATATTAGTAGTGAGCAGCATAATAGACAAAAGATAGAATCATTTTAGACATTCAAAATAGCAGAGGCAAAAGAAAAGTCAGAAGGAGTAACACATACAAGGAATCAAATTGTTCTCATAACTTATGTCAAATGGTTTTCTTGCCTCAGGAAGTTTTCATCATCTATCTCTCTCTCCTAATAATATAATGTCATTAAAAAAAGTATTCAACTATTGACTGGGCATCATTAAAAAAACAATTCAATAAATAATGAGATGTTTTTAATATTTAAATCAACCACAAATTTGGGAAAGAACATAAATGTGGTCAGATTACATAAACAACATAGTAAAAATCTAAATATAAAATGCATATTTTATTAAAGTTTATCTAATATCATTAATACTGTGAAACTTTTTAAGTCCTTATATGGTAAATATAAATAGAAGATTACTTGATGGCTAAAATATTTCCTGTAGCAATGCTTAATTCTTTATATATTTAAAATATTCTTACTACAATCTATTACACTTCTAGTTTTGTGGCATAAGATCCTAATAGACCTACCCTCCCACATTTAACAAGTAAATACAAAAACGATTACTTAAAGGTTCTAGAAAATAAACAAAAGCAAACAGATTTTGGAGAGGACTTGTTACTTTAAAAACGGCAACAGCCAGGAGTGATTTGCCATTTTTAAAGCTTCCTCTGAGGGCAGCCTGCAGGTGCAATGGCCTGTCAACTTTCTGGCCTAGAAAACCAGAGGTCAGAGCCAGCCTAAAGCCACACGAAAGAAAAAAGCTAGCAAAAGGGATTTTCAAATTCTGTGTAAAAACTATGCCAGGTCTAAGGTTGACTGTCGAGGCAAAAGAATGGAGTTGACAGAGGCAAGTATCAGTGAACCTAAAGAAAAAGCAATAGCAATTACACAACTGGGAGAAGAAAAAAATAACAAATTAGGAAAAAAATGAACCAGCTTCAGGGACCTCTGCACATCAAAAGGTCTAAAATGTTTCACTGGGGCTCTGGCTGGTGTGGCTCAGTTGATGGGAATGTTGTCTCAGACACCAAAAAGTGACGGGTTCTATTTGTTCCTTTCTCCTTTCCTCTCTAAAATAATTTTTTTAAATTAAAGAACATACTCTCTCTTATAAAAAATATAAAGTGTTTCACTGGAATTCCAGAGAGAATCATACAGAAAAAAGTAATTAAAGAGATTAGTGGTAGAAAACTTCCTAATTGTGGTGAATAACATAAGAAAACAGATTCAAGAAGCTCAGCAAACACCAAACGAGATACATATGCATATATACAAATGTGTGTGCATACACACAGGCACATTATAGTCAAACTGGTAAAAAACAAACATAAAGAGAAAGTTTTGAAAGCAGCCTGAGGAAAAAAAATACACATTACATGCAGGCAACAATGACTCAGCTGACAGCAAATGTCTTATCAGAAACTGTCTAGACTAGTAGACAGTGAATAGTATCATTAAAGTTGATGAAACAACAAAATGAAACCATTAATATAAAAACATAACTTACATTAACTAGTCTTTCAAGACTAGGAATTATTAGAGATGTTTCTCCTCCATTAACATCAGGATCTTTCTGCATTTCCTTAATAGCTTGCAATATTTCTTTCATACCTCCTTCAAGTTGTTTATTTTCTTCAACTAATTCTTTTACTATAATGACATATGTTTCTCATTGAATGAATAAATTTTACACCATTTGCACTATTCTATATCGATGACAAATAGTTCACGTATAGGAAAAATAACTCATTTGTAAAATGCAAATATATATACAAAAAAAGTTCAACTATAAATTCAATGTGTGAATAGTTGAGCTGAATGATATACATATTGAAATTATATGCATACACATATCTCATAGCTCAAAGAAATAAATCATAAGCATATTTGCCTTCACTTTATTAAATTTTTTAAAAATTTGTTTACTTTCATTAGAGAATAAAACAGAAAAATTAGTTATTTATAATCACAAAAATATTCAGACTAAGAACATTCTCCGACTATGAATATAGCAGAGCAAACCAAATGGATGAAAGAGAGAAACTAACGTCTATACCTTATAAAGGTAATTAAGACTAAAACAGATTAGAAAACAGAATGTATTAAAGTCCTTTCAGATCCATGATTTTCAGTATAAGACAAATAGGTAAAGAAAAATAAGAGATAATAGTAACTTACATTTACTCTGAAATTTGGCTATTATTGTTTTACTTCTTTCTAAATCTCTTTCTTTTTCAATTAGTTCTCTTGAAAGAAATTCACTCTGAACAAAACATAAATAAAATTATTTTTTTTTTACAAAATATCACAATAGTTTAGTTCTGAACTTTTAACAAAGTTTGATTGAGGTTTAACACACCAAATACAAGTTATAGAGACATAATAGCAGTCATAAAAGTAAAATCTAAATGATAAAACAGATGGTGATCCTCTTCCCATCTTCTCCCTTCCCTGCCCGCCCCTCCCATACCCATGGCAAAAAGCAAACAGATATAACGAAGGTTTTTGTCTTTAGTACCACAATCATCTGTTTTAATATTCACACTACCTGTTCTGCCTGGCTTCTATGACGTTCAAGCTCTATTTCTGCATTTCTACTCTGTGCTTCCTTGATCAATAAATCCTGTGCTATGACTTCATTCTAAAGAAATATTTAATAAATTAGGCAAGTTGATGAGTTCATATCAAATATACTGCATTTTTAGATTTTAAAAAAATAGAATGTGCATAAATTAATGCTAATGTTCAAACATTAAAAAAATCTTATTGTAATTACTACTTATAGAACTTTGTTAGAAAAGAAATTAAAAAAAAAAAGAGTTAATAAAAAAGCAATCCCAGGAATGCAATTTGGAGGAAACCTCACCTCAGATCTAAGAAATATTAGTTCTCTCCATAGCTGTTCTGTAACATTTTCAACTGGATCTACCTGAGATAATTCTGATTGTGCAGTAACATGCACAGGATCTGGAAGATTAACTTCAAGTTTACTTTTCAAAATCTCTGCCTGTAAGGGTACTTCACTTTTTCTTTTATCTTCTTTCAAACTACCAGCACATTTTATTTGGGCATGAACCCGCTCATCTTCTGGTGCTGCTACGCGTGAATTATCCATGTCAGCTTTATTATCATGAATTTGTTGACAAAATATTGCAGATTTTTGCCTAAGTGATAACTTCCACATTAAATCAGAAGCTGTTAATAAGGCTTGTAAAGACAAATTGCTTTCTTGTGTGAAACTTGTCTTCTCAGGTGCTTGATGGCTTTCTGACACTTTCTTCAGAGAGTCATCAGAAGAAGAGTATAGGAAGTTGTTTATTTCTTCATGACTCTCCCTACTAAAGGCACTGACTAACGATTGTAGACATGGTGCTTTAAAAATCTCCCTTATTGTAATAGTTTCTGGAGGTGTATTATCATTTACTTGTGTAGATGAAGAATGTCTAGTTAAAGAGACAAAAGGATCCACTTCACTCGCTACACTATGATGAACTTCAGATAACATTCTTGGTAACGATCCTACAGTCATGTTCTCTTCTGACTCTTTCTGGTAAGATTCTGGAATACTGATTGATGCTCTCCTATGCAGCAGCTCTACTTTATCTGAACTCCTAATCTGTATTCAGAATAAATAATGTCTCATTAATCAACCTTTGAATCAACAGATTATTTAAGTAAGAAAACATTTTTAATTTAACATCTATAAAAAATAGCAGTGTCTAAAATGAGATAATAGATCAAAAATGAAAGAACTGACAATTTTCTTTATTTTCTCTGTCATAGCAAATACTGTTTACCTTTGAATGTGCTGCATTCATATTTTCAAGGCTCATGAAATCAAATTTTCTTTCTCCCATTCTATTTTCTTGAGAAAAGTTTTCTGTTAGGTTCAGGTCCTCAACTATTAAGCCTACATATAAAAAAATATAACAAATTAGACATAAAAATAACTCTCTTATTATTTTAATACTTTCACTCTTTAAAACTAGAAACAAGTTTTAACTCAAAAATGATAGAATAATTATTTCTAAAATCCCTAATAAACATGTAGCCTATACAACCTTCTCATTTAACTCACTTTTAACAAGATATTAGTATGAGAAACTAATATATACTGTATCCTCTCTATCATTCCTATCCGTTCTATATATAGTTAAAAGACACATATAACTCTTTGTAATACTTTAAGCAATAAAACAAAATTTAAAAAAAAGAAAGTAGACAAAAATCTTGAATAATGAGAAAACTGGTTAATATACTAATAAATTATGAAGTTTTGCCCTTCTAGAAATTTTTTGATGTACTATAGGAACTAAAATGCTAAAAAAAAAAATACAAAACAAAAAAATGTATTACTCTTAGGTATTTATGAACTTAGTTAAAAACAAATTTCTTTTCTGTGGTCTTCAACAGCTGTAAGACATTTAACCAACTGTTCTCTTTATATCATGTAAGATAAACAAACAAAAAATGCTAATTTTTATTCAACAAAACATTATACAGTAAGTAATGTCTAAGAAGTTTTCAATACATAACTCTTAAGAAAAGAAAAAAATATTATCAGTAACATATTAACATAAAAATTACTGTTTTATCATTACTAATCACAACTTACTGGCATTGTCTACAAATTAATACAAACTTCACTGTAAATTTTTCATAAGTTCACGATGCTGAAAGTTTGTTTTTTATTCACTTGTTTTGTTGGTTTTTGTTTTGTTTATTTGTTTACCAGTTCCATACTTAGGACTGAACCCAATGACACTCATTTATATAATCTTCATCAGGCCATTATTTTCATTTACTAAACTTGTAGCAGAACCACAGTAACATAGAGATGACATTTTTAACATACAGAAAATTTCAGATACAGATGATTCATTTTCCAATGACTTTTTTAAATGTTTGGAATAACTGAGTATACCTGAAGTTGCAGTTCTTTTTCCTTTTTCTTGAGCCATTTGGCGGATTTTTTTTTTCAGGTCAAGTCGTTCTTCCTCTAAACTTTCAATCTATAAAGTAAAAATGATTAGTATTTTTCTTTAGTTCAACCAGAAAAATAACCAATTGACTACTGCACTTGCCTCTTTCAAAAGAATCTGGTTTTCGGCTCTGTACTGATGCTGTTTTAAACTTTTGCTATTTCTAAATTCAGTTAAATCAATCATTGTCTTCGGTTCAAGGCCTAAAATAGAAAGTAATGTGATTAAAACCTTATCAACATTCAAATGAACTACAAAAGGTTCATATAGCAGCTAGTTATCATCAAGCAACTTGTTATAATTTATTAAGTCAGCATCACTACAGAAGAGGGTATATTTTGTGCAAGAACTTTCCTGATGTTTGAACTATAACCCTCCAAGTTTAAATTTTGTCACAATTATTAATGAAAATCCTGACAAAAAATATTTAGGATCTATCTTGTCTATGTCTGCCTGTCATTGAGGTACTATAAATGTAGTAATTAAGAACATAATTAAGTCATAGGGATAAAACTGTATAATTATATATATTTTGGCTTGTTGTCAGGGATATATTAAAATCAACCCAAATAAAGAGTTAGTGCAGTGCCTGGCACATAGTAGTCATTATTTAATATCAATATCAAGAATATTGGCTGCTCTGCTTGTGGAGTAGCCACTCTCGGTCTCAGTGCTTCACTAATACACTCTCTTTCGTATATTATCATGACTAATCTGGTGCTTCCAGTGTGCATGTCTCATAACTTTCTATTACTTAAGCAGCTATGTTCTGAAAACCAGACATTAAGACTGTCTCAAATAATTATAACCAAGTTTTGCAGCCTTTACAGTACAGAAAATCTGCTGTTTTTGACAGCTATCTGGATGGCTCAGTCAACTTTAGGAACTTCCAGATCGAAGCTGGCTATCAAGTGATAAGTCATCTATCAGAAGTGTAACTTGAGGTCCTAGCACGACTCTGGGTCCTAGTTAGACACATTTTTACAGATGAATCGTCTGTATAAAATATTTACTTTTCCTTCCTCTAGGTAACAGTTTTTACAGATGATCATGTTAATTCTAAGAAAGCATTAACTGGTATTTACCAAGTAAAATAAAATCATTATTTAGATCTTTATTTTCATTTTAAAGCAGCAATTTAGATTGGAATGGCAAAACATTAAAACTGGTAATATTCACTAATAAGGTATTTATTGAAATCAATATATAACTTCTCAAGCTATATTACTTCTTAGAATCAATAGTAACCTTAAAATACTCAACCGAAGAAAAACTTAAGCAGTCTAAATTCTAAAAGTCAAGTACTTAAAAGTCTTAAAAAGGTTTATATAGTATTTCTAAATGTCCTCAAGAATTCTTATGAAACAAAGGCATCTTACAAACTGACATGGGTCACATAGACATTACTCTGATTGAAAAAAATTAAAGGGTTCACTTCTAATATGTGGTATTAACTTAGCAGACTTTCATTTTTAGACCAGCAGTTACTACTGAGGAGATCCTGGCCTGCACAGAGCAGTGCTCCAGGCCTGCCCACCCCCCCATCCCAGCCCTACCAAATCCCCAATCTCAAGTCAATCAGAGTAGCTCCACTTTTATTTGTTTTAAACATTTTTATAAAAGAATGTATTTTTTTTAAAAAAGACAACTATTTAAAAATAATAAACAATCAAAAAGGAAAACTGAAAATGACTTGACAATTAGGATTGAGCAAAATACATATCTTAAAAGATGACTCACCCACACGCTCTCTAAGTGCCTCATTTTCATCGAGGAAATCATTGATCTTCATCTCAAGTTTATTGATTTCCTTTGTCAATCCTTCAATCTCCCGATCTCTTATTTTAATTTGGTTTTTACAATTCTTTATTTCAATAACAGCATCTTCTAAACCATATACTCCCTAAAAAATACCCATCTAATTTAAATATAACATGATTTATTTGGAATAAATTATTAAACTCATGAATTTATTTTCTTATTAAGTCTGTGGGAAAGTGCACATATACTTAAGGTCTGCATCATTAAACTGTGCTTTTTATTGTGCTTTTTAAAAAAAATTCCAATAATGATGACAGAAAATGGAAGAGTTGAAACTTCTCAAAACAGCACCCTAATGGCAAAGTGACTCAGAATATTACATTAAAAGGATTCACAAAACATAGAAAATAAATAGTAAGGGTCAATCGGCAATACCATTACAATATGTAAATCATTTCTTGCCTGACTTAGTGGTAATCAGATTTTAAAATATAAAAAAAAAGTAGAAAGTCAGGCTGTGTTGCCATGGTAGGCAATAAAACAGTCCCTGTTATAACTTTTATCAAACTAACCAGGTGTCACATCTACATGGTGGCATACTGACACAGATTACAAAGAACCTAACCTTGCTGCCTCACCAAAGCTGATTATCTGGCAAATAGTTTGAAAATAATTCTCCTGCCACAAAGTAAATGCTACTCAAAAGTTTGAATAGTTTAATATAAATTGATTAGGATAATCTTTTTTTAAAAATATATTTTATTGATTTTCTACAGAGAGGAAGGGAGAAGGATAGAGAGCCAGAAACATCGATGAGAAACATCGATCAGCTGCCTCCTACACACTCCCCACTGTGGATGTGCCCACAACCAAGGTACATGCCCTTGACCGGAATCAAACCCGGGACCCCTGAGTCCGCAGGCCGACGCTCTATCCACTGAGCCAAACGGGTCAGGGCAGGATAATCTTTATTATATTTCTGGAATGCTTTTAGATGGTATGCAGTAAATGGCAAAGGACAGTCTAACTGTGTCAAGAAAAATTCTAAACTTGATTGACAAGATAAGAATACATACAGATTCATAATCTTTTAATCGCTTCAGAGTCTCAACTAGTTCTTTATCCTTTTCCTTAGCATCAGCCTCAGCCAGTTCAGCTGTTCTCTCAGCCTCTTTAGTCTTCTCTTCTAAAATTTGAACCTTAGATTGCATTTTCATATAATGATTCTGTTGAGAAAGTGTTGAAGCACCTACAAGGTAAAAGTGAAAATCATAAATGAGTTGAATTGATTACTCATTCCTTTAAATCACTGATTCCAATATGGGTGCAGAAAAAGTGATACATCACTAAAAAAAGCCCTTTTAATATCACAATTTCTTATTTATAAAATAAAGCTCTAATTTGGTTGTATTAATAAAACAAACTAAAAAAATAAAGTTCAATAAAATCTCAGCTGAAGGGTTATGGATTGTAAAAGATTGCAAAACACTGCTATACAAAGAATGATCACTATGCGAAGACTGCTAACATTTTTCTAATATTTAACCTCTCTTTTGTCCACTGTAAAAAACTATGGAATTTTAGCTGGACATATGACCACATGACTAATGCGATACAGATAGAAAAGCCATGTGCACATTTCAAGAAATGGGTTGTTTTTTTTAGGATTTACTGTCATTTATTGAGAGCATCCCCTCCCCGCCTTTGCAGTCTCTAGATCACTCTTTCCTCTTATAGATCTTGTGTGTTAGCCTCAGGAGGACGGTTGGGGACAGGGTTGCAGAGCACTGCTTGATGAGACCCACAAAGTGGCTGTAACTGCATCAACCAAGCCTGCAGACTGCAGCTCCTCACAGAGTGCCTTCATCTGGGCCACCTTCTCAGCCTCTTTCTGCCCATAATTCGGCTGCAGGATCTAGCGCTGTTCCAAAGAGGCCCGTCGCAGACACTGAACTGATGTAACTGCATGAACAGAGCCTGCAGACTGCAGCTCCTCAGAGTGCCTTCATCTGGGCCACCTTCTCAGTCTCTTTCTGCCCATAATTCCGCTGCAGGATCTGGCGCTGTTCCAAAGAGGCCCGTCGCAGACACTGAACTGCAGCCAGCTGCATCTGTTGTCCTGGATGTCAATGCCAATCTTGTGTGTCACACTAGAGTCCCCAAAGAGGTCAAGGTAGTCATCCTTAATGGGAAAGAACTCTCCCATCTCCAGCAGGAACTTCTTGGCATTGGCATGTTCCTTCTCTTCTCAATTCCCACCATATGCATGGCAGCCACTACAAGGCAGAGTAGAAAGCTAACTTATACTTAACAACAGATGTGTACCTCTTTTCAGTGAATATGCCAATACCCATGTTGCCCTGCAGTGCTGTGATGAAGTCCAGGCTCTGTCCAATCTCAGCCTGATAGGAACTCTGCAGAAAGAGCTTGATTAGGTTCGCGTAATAGGCTGCTCCCAGCAGAACTTCAGCAGTTGGTAGATACATGCTTCCGTAAGCATAGCATGACGGGTGACATCCAAACCTATGCCTGGCTTCTGATACCAGCAGATCTAGCCCCTGTCAGGTGAGGAATGAATCCATAATGTTGTCTGACACCAGAAAGAAAGCCTGGAGCAGTTCTACACACCAGCCCACAATTATGCCTACTGGAGACTATGAGCATCCTGCTTTCTGGGTTCCAACAGGTCCTGGAGTGTTATGAGTACCGCTGGTACTTACCCTCAATAACATTGTACTCCAGGACCTCCTTGAGCCAGGCAATAGCATCTCTTGTATCTGGGTGCCCCATGTCACCCTCAGTTAATACCCTGACAATCTGGGATAAGTGCTGGATGAAATTCTGCTTTTTTGGGTCATAAACATCCAATTTCTGGTCTCCATTCATTCTGTTCCTGGATGCTGGTCAAGAAATGCTTTTAAAGGAAAGAAGTGAATCTTTCTTTTCTCTTTCCTCCCTCCTGGCAGCTGGAATATATGCATTGAGGCTGGAACTCATACGGTCTTCTTAGGACAGGAGATGGAAACCAGATGTCAAGATAGGCAGAGTATACAGATTATCTGATATCTGATTTGTGCAGTTATCACACTAACCCTCAACTAGTTGCCTCAATTTTGTTTATATCATAAAAACAGAGATTTCTATCCTGCTTAAACCATTGTTACATTTGATTTTCCTGTCACCTGCAGCTAAACTTAAACCTAACTAATAGCTAAAAAAAAATCACTATTATCTTAACAAACTAGACCAAAATATAGTATCCCTATCATTGTAAAATGTATTGACACAAATAATTCTTATATTCATCCATAATGAACATCTACTGATTTATTGGGTATATACTTACGTATTGGTATTGGACTAGTGTGGGAGATCACTTTTGTATAAGAAATGAGCCCTGCCCTAACCGGTTTGGCTCAGTGGATAGAGTGTCGGCCTGCGGACTGAAGGGTCCCAGGTTCGATTCCGGTCAAGGGTATGTACCTTGGTTGCGGGCACATTCCCAGTAGTGTGTGTGCAGGAGGCAGCTGATCGATGTTTCTCTCTCATCGATGTTTCTAACTCTCCATCTCTCTCCCTTCCTCTCTGTAAAAAACCAATAAAATATATTTTTTTAAAAAAGAAAGAAAGAAATGAGCCCTGTTCTCTGGAGTGAACAGCCTAGCCTTAGATGGAGAATGTGACAGAGGCTGAGTGGTCCCCAATATCCATTCTCCCTTTCTTCCACATGGCCCTCCATAACATTTACCTGCCTATACTTCAGTATGTGCTCTTTGCCTCTTTCCCCTTCTTCCTTCATCTTGCTGTCTGAAACGTGGATGTGACACTAAAGCTCCATTTCAAATAAGGCAGATGAGGGCAACACCCCTGTGCAATGGTCTAGATTTAGGCATTTCCTAATTCCAATGCACAAGTGAGGAATACATTTCTATCTTGATTTTGTTACTATTTTTCAGATCTGTTTCTGACAGCTAAACCTAATCCTAACCAATGAAAGGGGAAAGACCATTAGCTGTCATATTTACAAGTTGATCAAGATATAGAGTATACTCCAATCTGTAGGCTTTGGAGGTCAAATGCTGTGACCGACTGAGGTGTCATTAGATAAGACCTCTTCCTTATTCAACAGCAGAGATTAATTGCCACTTTCTCCTGTTGGCTGGAATATGTAACACCCATAATATCAGTCATCCTTTTAAAGCACTTTAAACTACTGTCAAAGTATAATTCTAATACATACATAATACAACACACATCTGTGGGCTTTGGAGGTCAAATGCTGTGACCGACTGAGGTGTCATTAGATAAGACCTCTTCCTTATTCAACAGCAGAGATTAATTGCCACTTTCTCCTGTTGGCTGGAATATGTAACACCCATAATATCAGTCATCCTTTTAAAGCACTTTAAACTACTGTCAAAGTATAATTCTAATACATACATAATACACACACATAGAAATATGTATATCAAGTGGGTCTTGATGTTGCTCAACAATCACACTACATTTTCCTAGTCTGTTCATTCTTCCACAGGACCATTTCATATTTCCTCTTTTCTATTCTCTCCTCAAACTTCTAATACATATTCCCCTATCCCCACTTTCAGCTGAAAACCTTGCTTCCTGTTTACTGAGAAAACAGAAGCAATCAGAGAAATTCTGCCAGTTCTCACTGAGACGTGGGGTTCGGGGTGCAGACTTCTTCTGTCAGTGTTTGCGCTACAAAGCTTGAATAAATTTGTGTACGAAAAGGCTTCTTTAATAAAAAACGTAGAAGTTTATTGGAAGCAGATACAAACTCCAAATGGGAAAGGCTTGCTTTCTTCCTCTTTCATGGGAAAAAATCCAAAATTTGAATCTGTAATTTGTAATTTGTTGAGTCTTTTTATCTCTGAGTTCCTATAGGCTGTAGTTTTTTGTCTGAGGTATTTATTATGTATTCTGAAGACCATTCTTTTCCTTATTGTGTCTCTTCCACCATGGGACCTTAGTCTTGTAATAAGTTTTCACAATACCCATTTTCATGTTGTTGTTTTTTTGGTTATTTTATTTGTTCAGGTTGGAGTTATTTTAGACCACCCTATGGCTTCCTAGCCAGAGATGTTTTATTACCCCTTAGGTCAGGGCTGTTTTAGATCTAACTTATGGCTGTTTTAGTTTTTCAGGCCAGAAATGCCTCCATCCTTCTTGGACCCTGCCTCCCTTCTTGTCTTAAGCTAGTTAACCCTTTTCATCACCACAAGGCCAATCAGGGGTGGGGCAGGTCCGGGGGAGGGGCCACGGGCAGGGCAGTAGGCTGGCAGGCCCCACCACCTGGTGGAACTCCCAGGCGAGGGGACAATTTGCATATTAGCCTTTTATTATATAGGACTAGAGGCCCGGTGCACAAA